CACCACCCACTCCTCAGGCCTGAGGCTGAAGGCCAAATCCTCCTCAGCAGCAGCCACAGCTCCAGGAACATGGGGGTGACTCCAGGCCCTCCCTGCACACCGAGGGATCCGTGTCCTCAGGATCCCTGGGGACATCCCACCCCCTGCTCAGCCACCCAAAGCTGTTCCCAAGCACAAGACTCACACCTTTTGTTCAACACCTTCCATATTTAATTTACTTATTTAGATATTCTCTACATTAAAGTATTTTCATGCCAACACTTCCAACCTCCCATCCCAACCTCAAGGAAAACAGACGTGACACAGCTTTTGGGGTGGAATGCACCGGAATCGAGTTGCTATTGCAGTCACAGAGAACACAGGACAAAACCAGAGAGAACTGCACATGGGAGAGATGTCAGGGAAAGCTGGAATTAGCACACTCATTCCAGTCACGTTAGCACCTTCCCAGACGAGCACTGGAGGCGTTCAGAGAGGTGCAACATGCTCTGGTGAGCCAGACCAGAGCTCAGACTACAGGAAGCCTGGAAAAAGCATGGAAGTGTGCCAGCAGTGGGCCTGGAGCCTCGTCTGAACCCGTTGGAAAAAGAACAACACGGACTTGCCTAGCCAAGTTTGCAGTGTTTGGGAATGCTGAGCTCAGGGCTAGCCAAATCTGTGCCTGGAGTGCAAACCACAATGGCTTCAGACATGGCCTGGGCATGGCACACCGAGACCAGAAGTCAAAATATCCTTTCAGGAATTAAAAGGTTTCTTTCTCCTGTTGCCATTTCGTAAGAGGATATTGTTTAAAAGCTGAGCTGCCACCAGCACACCTGGGTTGGGTTTAAGCTGGTTGGTTTACATACCATGGAATCCCCTCCAGCAGCAGCACAAAGCACTGGATGACCAAATTTTGGTGAGACTTCTGGGCTCAGAAGTGCTTTAGCTGCTGGTTTTGCATCTCTGGCACTTCCAGAACTCCAAGAAAAAAGGGTAAGTAGGAAACATACTCTGCCAGCTTCAATTTTAATTCAGTAATTAATCATTATCATGCCACTGTCAGGTAGTATGCACTGGCCTGTGACCCTCTGCTGGTGGCAGAGCCCCCAGTGAGCCTCCCTGTGCCCTCAGTTCACACAAACCTCTCAGAATCTCAAGCCACGGTTCAAAACTTGCATTTTCCAGGAAGGAATGTTGCCATGCAAGTGACATTGCTCTTTCATGTCCCTCAAACCCTGGTTTGACAGAAAGATTTGCCATTTCTGGTAATCCTCAGATACTAAGATGCCTACAAAAGGTTCAGTTCCAAGTACAAGCTTGGTGATGGGTATTGCACATCTGTAAGAGCTGGCCTGCATGTTCTCCTGAAGATCCAGGCTGTGGGAGAAGGGATATTTTCAAACCTGGTAGCAGTGCACATGGAACACTGGCACAAGTGTCACCTACTCCTGGTTTCAACTGTATGGGCGACAGGTAAACACCAACACATGGAAAAGGAAACCAAAGCAGCATCGCACAGAGCAGGGGCAGAGGGAGCTGTGCTAGTGCTTTGCAGTGGAATCTCGAGGGTAGAACTCAGCCAGTGTTGTCTGAGGAATCCTCTTGAGCATCTCCTTGGGGAAGATGCGCAGGAGCTGCCAACCGATGTCCAGGGTCTCGTAGACCGTGCGGTTCTCGTAGGGACCTGCGGGACAGAGGCAGCAGGAGCCTCACCACAGGCAGCCCTGGGAAGGAGCCCTGAGGTGCCAAGGAGACGTGCAGAACACTCACCCTGAGCAATGAAGTTCTTCTCAAACTTCTGCAGGAACTCCAGGTAAAGGAGATCATCTGAGGTAAGAGCTTCCTCTCCAACCACAGCCTTCATGGCCTGCACGTCCTTCCCGATGGCGTAGCAGGCGTACTGGGGTGGGAACAGGACAGGTTTTACCCTCAGCACAGGGTCGTGGAATAGCTTGGGTGGGAAGGGACCTTGGAGATCATCCAATGTCACCTCCCACCAGCACAGGTTGCTCCAAGCCCCATCCAACCTGGCCTGGAACACTCCCAGGGATGGAGCAGCCACAGCTTCTCTGTCCAATCTGTGCCAGAGCCTCAGCACCTCCCAGGGAGGAATTCCTTCCCAATATCCCATCTGTCCCTGCCCTCTGGCAGTGGGAAGCCATTCCCATTTGTCCTGTCCTTCCTGGCCCTTGTCCCAGGTCCCTCTGCAGCTCTCTTGGAGCCCCTTTAGGCACTGGAAGGGGCTCTGAGGTATTCACCAGACTGAACACCCCCAGATCTCTCAGCCTATCCTCATAAGAGAGATGTTCCATCCCTCTGATCACGTTCCACATAACAATTCCTGTTCCAGCTCAAAGGGTCTCACTAAGCACTCAGCCAATGCTTTAAAGCAGCCTCAGGACTGTTCTGGATCACAACTGCTTGGCATGTTCTTTCCAGGCTGGGTAGCAATAGGTGTGTTTGAAACATTTCTCTGCCTCCCCAGGGAGATTTTTTTACCTACCAGCTGGTTGGACACATCTGCATGATCCTTCCTGGTCATTCCCTCGCCGATAGCTGACTTCATCAGTCGAGACAAGGAGGGCAGGACATTGATGGGTGGGTAAATCTGGGAGGAAACACCCAGGGATTAACATTTTACTTCAAAAAGAGCAGAGTAATGTATGTTCCAAGAGCTGTGGCACTTACCTGTCTGTTGTGCAGCTGCCTGTCCACATAGATTTGTCCCTCAGTGATGTACCCAGTCAAGTCAGGGATAGGATGAGTAATATCTGTGAGGAAAGAAAGGTTTGGCAGATTTTTAGACCTTTTATATGAGACCTTCATATCCATTTTAGATGCAGCAGCTTTTTGCTATCAGGTGACTTCTAAAGCACAATGCCATCAGTTATTCCCTTCATATATCCCTGAGTGCTCTTGGATCAGGGCTGTAAGCACCCGTGGAGAACAGGCCTGAAGCCTCAAACAGGCAAATTTATTAGCAACCCAGAGAAGGCAGCCAGAACCTGCAATATTCCAAAGGAAACAGAGGTCCCAGGACCTGCTGCGTGCCCAGAACAAGGCAGGTTGCTGTGATGGAGCCTGTTAAAGTGCTGCTTGTGGAGAACTCACCATCGTTGGGCATGGTAAGGATGGGGATCTGGGTGATGGAGCCATTCCTGCCCTCCACACGCCCAGCACGCTCGTAGATCGTGGCCAGGTCAGTGTACATGTAGCCTGGGAAGCCACGGCGCCCAGGGACCTCCTCCCGAGCTGCTGACACCTGGGACAGCCACAGAAACCATTCCAACAGCTCTCACCACACACAGGGACCTGCTGTCTCCCCAGATTCAGCTACACTAGGGACTTCAAGTACCTTAAATATCGTCCAGTCCCACCCCCTGCCATGGGCAGAGACACCCTGCACTAACCCAGGCAGCTCCAAGCCCCATCCAACCCAGACCTGGACACTTCAGGGATGGAATTGCCAGCAGTGAAATAAATTGGGCTATCACAGTTGTTTGACTGGTGAACATAATCCTACACAACCAAGGACTAAAAGCTTCACTGGCTGTTTAAGAGCTTTGAGCTGAATATTAATTGCGACAGCTTGAGCAGAAGTTTAGGTTCTCACTTTCCAGCACAAACCCTTCCTGCCAACACTCGGCGTATTAATAACCACGTTAATTAACACGTTAATGACCACGTACCTCTCGCAGAGCTTCAGCATAGGAGCTCATGTCTGTGAGAATGACCAGCACATGCTTCTCACACTGATAGGCCAAGAACTCTGCGGTGGTCAGGGCCAGGCGAGGGGTGATGATGCGCTCGATGCTGCAACAGAGCAGTCTGGGTTACTCCTGCCAGCTGCTTCAAGGCTCTCAGGTGAAGCTACAAACAGTCTAAAATCCACCACGTGCACCAACTGGAGCACCAACACCTCCTCTGCAGCTTGGCTGCAAACCCCAATCTAAGGGACTCCTGTCAGCACACCAGTGAGGCTTCAGCTCCCAGTTACCTTGTCCTTCCCAGCCTTTCCCAACCAACAAGGTGTAACTACTCACGTTGGATCGTTGGCCAGGTTCAGGAACAGACACACATTGTCCATGGAGCCATTCTCCTCGAAGTCTGACTTGAAGAACCGAGCGGTTTCCATGTTCACCTGAACCACAAAATGGAGGTGTCACTGCCACCACATTTTGGCTTAGGACATTCTGCATCATCTTAAAGTCTAAATACCTCATTAATAACCCAGAGCAAAGCTCTCCATCAGGAAGCTTTCCCTGCATTCCCAGAGTGAGTCATTTCTAGAGTTCCAGGCTGGAGATCAAGTTGAAGATATTTCAGCCTGATCAGACACAGCTTGTTAGAATCCTGGAATGGTCGAGTTCCAGGCTGGAGATCAAGTTGAAGATATTTTAGCCTGATCAGACACAGCCTGTTAGAATCCTGGAATGGTTTGAGTGGGAAGGGACATGAAAGATCATCCAGTTCTACCCTTTGCCATGGGCAGGGACACCTCCCACTAGCTCAGGTTGCTCCAAGTCCATCCAACCTGGCCTTGGATGCTTCCAGGGATGGGGCAGCCACAGCTGCTCTGGGAACCTGTGCCAGAGCCAAACGGCATTTACAGCACTTGTGGCCTTTGGGATTTTCAGCCATTCAACCCTTTAATTACACACACACAAACCTGACTTAAAATACTTCAGCTCCTCTCAGCATTCTCATTCACTCCTCAAGCATCACCTCCCTCCAGCACTGTGGACTTACACCCATAGCAGCAAACACAATGGCAAAGTTCTCCTCGCTGTAGTCCATGACATCCTTGGATTTCTTCACCAGGCCAGCCTGGCGGCAGATCTGAGCTGCAATCTGGGGAAAAAACACCTCAGGCTTCAGAGCTGAAGCTGTTCACTGCCCAGAGGCTAACTGCATTTACCTTCAACCCCAGTGGAATGGGAAGGGAATGGGAAGGAAGCTTAGGCAAGCTCTGAGCCCTCACCTCGTTGTGGGGCAGGCCAGCAGCTGAGAAGATAGGGATCTTCTGGCCCCTGGCAATGCTGTTCATGCCATCTATAGCTGAAATTCCAGTCTGGATCATTTCTTCTGGGTAGATACGACACTGGGGGTTGATTGGCTGACCTGGGGTATTTTTAGGAGGACACAGATTATTTCCTGAACAGGTCTGTAGCTCCATCAAACCACCACTGACCAAGAGGTATAAACCCTGACAAGTCTTCAGATGCACCTGGTCAAACCTGAGCCTTTTGCAGATCCCAAGGCTCTGCATTCTGTGGCCATGGGAATGGTAAGGATGATGCAAAGAAAACCCTGTTCAGGTATCAGCTGTTTGTCCCTGGAGCCTGTGCAATTAAGAGTCTACTAAAGATTCAAATAACTGTTTCCAGGCATGGCAAAAAACAGTTGTTTTCTGCTATCTCACCTTCCTGCAGTTGTGTAATCTGAGTCTGATGCCACACACACACACTGAAAAATCAGATTAAGCTCCCCCTAAGTTAGATCCTGTGCTGTAAATCAAATCTTTTGTAACATTCAGAAGAAACACCAGATTTGTCTCTCACTCCACAGCAGAAATGGATTAAGAACATACCCATAATGTCAAGGAAATCTTCAGCCAGAACAATGGGCCCTCTGTCTATAGGTTTTCCTGACCCATTGAACACTCTGCCTGCAAGAAACAACAGAACAATGTGAATTACTGTGAAAATAAGTTCACATGGGATAAATGTGTTCATTCTTCAGAGCAATATCAGGTGCTTACCCAGCATGTCCTCCGAGACAGGAGTGCGAAGGATGTCCCCAGTGAACTCACAGGAGGTTTTCTTTGCATCAATTCCTGAAGTGCCTTCAAATACCTGTAAATATACCAGAAAAAAATTGCAAAACTCAGGAAAAAAAGTCCTGTGTTCCCCAGTGAACTCACAGGAGGTTTTCTTTGCATCAATTCCTGAAGTGCCTTCAAATACCTGTAAATATACCAGAAAAAAATTGCAAAACTCAGGAAAAAAAGTTCTGTACTTCACCAACTAACACCTGAATGCTGCTGCATAGCTGGAGCACTCTGGGCAGCAGAGCTTTGCAAAGAGCTGCAAGAGCAGCTTGGCTGGTCCAGAACATGACAAAAATCTCCTTCTAACAAAACTCATGGATTCTATCAGCAGCCACCAACAAACCTGGTGCCATTCCTTTGATCCTTTGCCAACAGGGGAAAGCTCTTCAGATAAGAATAATATTAACAAGGAACAGCTGCTTAGAAGAAACACAGGTACCCACAGAGTTCAGGAGCTGCCCCTGAGTCCAGCATTGCACAGTGGGTGCCTTTAAGGCAGCAGCAAAGAAATCCATGGGGGATGGCAATAAAAATGTCAGTGTGCAATCTTCTACAATTATTCATGCACTGCACTGGGAATAAGGAGGTGATTTCTCCCTTTTTTATCTACAGTGCCAAAAGAACAGAGCTCGAGGCAGGTTTGACTTGGCTTAGACACATCAGTAACACATTCCTGATGCACCAAGAGATTCCTGTGCCCAACCCTACCTGAACCACAGCTTTGGAGCCACTGACTTCCAGCACCTGCCCACTTCTTCGTGTGCCATCAGGGAGAGTCAGGTGGACAATCTCAGCGTACCTGGGGAACTGGGGGTAAGCAAAACAGGGGGACAGACTTAAATCCACAGGCAGAAAACAAAAGATATCAGTTCCAAGCAAGATTAACCTCAGAAACTACTTTATTTTTAAGAACAAAACTCATCCCGAGGACATGAAATTTCTCAGGTTAGAGCCAGTTTTACAGGAATGTACAATTCAAATACAAACAAAAACGTGTGTACACAAAAATACACAACTGCTCAGAGCTGCAGCTGCAGCAAGACCTAACAGAAGCAGTTGTAAACCCCCTGGTAGCCCTGGAACACTGACACAGAGCCACAGTGCAGCATCTGACAGGAAGAAAAAACTTTGCCTTGGCAGTGGTTTGTCTTCAACAGCAGTTTGAGAACAGGTCAGAACTGTTCACAGTTCCCTTTCCCACTTGTTTGGAAACTGAAAGGTCAGGAACAAAGCAAATAGGGATATTTTTGAATAGAAGTTTAACAATATTCTGGAGAGTTTGGTAAAACTGAAAACTTGTTTCCTTTCTTTCCCCAACAGCCTGAACCACTGCTCCTTTCCTCCAGGACATGGACAACTCTCCTCAGGCTTACAGCAACTCCCAGATTCTCATTTATCTTAGCAGTCAGCAAGGGATTCAAATTGTTCCATGGACCCATAAATTTCCCAACAATCTGGATTTAACCTCTCACAGCTTCTCCTGCAAACTCTCCCTCGAAGAGCTTTGTTAAAGTCTGAGTCTTTACCTTAACTTGATCCAAGATAACCAGAGGTCCATTCACACCTGACACAGTCTTGTAAGCTGAAAAACAACAAGCCACAAGTCAGGTAATTCCTCAGAAATATCCTACAGGATGTTTTCCCAGTGTCATTCCTAGCACCAGGCTCAGGTTACCAGATTTGGGGCCTAGTTTATATGGTTTTTATGAAACCTACAAGGACTAGGTACAGAATTATCTCCAGGGTTTCTTGCTACTCCCTGCAAAGCACTTGAGGAGACATTAACATGATCCTGCTGTGTCCTTGTCCATCACTGACACTCAGTGAAAACCTATGGGGATAAAATGTGCTGTGTCCTTGTCCATCACTGACACTTACTGCAAACCTATGGAGAGGGATAAAATGAGGCTGGATGGAGCTTGGATCAGCCTGGACTGGTGGAATGTGTCCCTGCCCATGGCAGGGGGTGGGACTGGATGGGCTTTAAGGTCCTTCCAACCTGAATCATTCCATGATTCCAACTCAGGATATTCTATGATTTTTCTATGTGCCCAGGGGGGAAACTGTGAAGATGCAGTGAGCAGTGCTCCAGGGACACACACACACACACACACAGAGCAGGATCCAGGGACACACACACAGAGAGAGAGCGAGCCAGACACACACACACACACACACACAGAGAGAGAAGGATCCAGGGACACACACACACACACACAGAGCAGGACCCAGGGACACACACTGTATCCCAGCACCACTCAACCCAGAGATAAGAGAAGTCTTGAGTCAGAGCTCCTGAGGGTCACGAGGGGCAGTGCCTCTGGGTGTGACTGTTCATCACTTCCCCCTGGGAGGGGAAATGAGCCCCTGCAGCTGTGGGAGACAGCAGTACCCACTGGGCACAGGGAATAGGATCCCAACTTCCACCAGCACCAGGGAATCACCTGGATTGGCCCCTGCAGCCTGGCAGCTCCCTGGGTGCTGTCTACACTGTCAACAATGTGGTATTTGTATGTCAATAAACTGTTTCAAGTGTTGCAATCTAATATCTTAACAGGCAATAACCAAAGCTGGGTCAGAGCAGGGCTGAGAGGGGTGAGGACTGAGCTCAATCGACCAGTTTAGCCTTAAACTCCTGCTCAGCACCTTGAGACAGGACACCTGTCCCTGAGTTACCTTAAGCAGCAGCTGTCACCTGAGCAGGGAGAGTCACAGACATTATCCACGGGGATCCAAGTGTTTGCAGCCCACACGACTCGGAAAACATGATCCTGAGTGAAGCATTTCACCCCATGAGTGTCTCATGAGCTCCTTCCTCATCAGCTGGGCAGGGCTCACACTCCTGCTCTGTCCATGGAAAACACTGCCCTGACTTCCAGCAGCACCACTCAGCACCAATTCCTAGGAATGCAGGTCAGCACCCACTCCAAATTCCCCTTTCCATTAAGATCAACCAATTCCATGACACACCAAGAGGAACTTAAAATAGTTTCCATCCCCAGTTTGATGTCTGACAGAATCCACATGGAAAAACCTGGATGGAACATGGAGTCACCTTGGCTCCAACCTTGCCAAGCAGCCTCTGCTCCAGAGCAAAGCCCAGGGGGAGGCAAGAATTGCAGGGACCCATTTGGCTTCCAAATTTGACTGTTATTCCCAAAGGATCCATCCTTGAGGAGCTCCTGGGCACCACGCTGCAGGTGCTCCTGCACAGGCACCATAACTGCTGTCACTCGAGCAGAGAAAGGCCAGAAAAAACACCACCCCACAGCTCTCCCTTGCCTCTGCACACAGCTCCTGCATTTCCCCTTTTCCACCCAATTTCTCAACCCGCTGTTAAAGGCACAGAGCTCACAGCACCCTCTGTTACAGCCATTCCCAGGGGATTCCCGGGGCCACACGGACACAGCTTGTGCCACCCGGAGCACTCGTGGCTCAGCACAGCACTACAGAGCCCCCGACAATCGCCAGCCCGACAGGGCCTGTCCTCTGCAGGGCCTGGGGCTGTGCCCTCCGTGTCCCCCCGCACTCACTGCGGT